TGAAGCCGCAGCAGCTGTCCAGCGAGAAGTCGATGCAATCCTAGGGTGGGCTGCTAATAACGCCGCCTCCTTTGACCAAGAAAAGGCTGAAGTAGTCTACTTTCTCCACCCAAAAGCCAGGGGACACGAACTTCCGCCTATAAGGGTAGGTACTCGCGACGTACAAGCATCTGACGACATTCGTTGGCTCGGAGTGCACCTGGACCGCGGCCTCACCTTCGAAAGCCACGTCGCTAAGTGGACTTGCAGGGCAATGCGGCTGGCACAACACTTCCGGCGACTTACTCGGTGCACCCAGGGACCAAGGCCCGACCTACTTACGACAGTCATTCGCACGGTAGTTTTGCCACTCGCGATGCATGCAACTGAATTCTGGTGCCCGGGGCCAACCAGGGAAACGTATCGGGGTGTTGCGCGAAATTCATGTAAGAGACAGTGCAAAGTCATTGACCAAACTTCTGCCTTAGGAATTCGTGTGGCTCTACCAACTTGGCGCACCATGCCCATCGCAGCCCTGAGAAGGGAGACTGGCATTCCACCAGCACACATTCTGCTCGAGGAACGTTGGCTCAAGACTGCCGCATGAATCCGAAGACTGGATGAGTACCATCCGCTTCGACTTCGGGCCACGGAAAGCACAGACAGCGCTCGCTATCGAGTCAGATTCAAGACATGCAACAAAAGTAGACTTGTTCTGGATAGAGTTCATGATTCGAGGGTCCAGAGGATGTACCGACTTCTGCCATAGGCTGAACTTCCTCCACGGCTCCGACCTCCGGTCCTCCCTCAGCCAATTCCCCGCTGGACAAGCAAGAAAGAAGCAGCTAGGTTTATAAGAGAGTGGCTACCTACTCTCCCACCCGACTGTCTTTGCGTGTACAGTGATGGTTCTGAGGCGTCCACCGACAGAGTGTCATGGGCCTTTGTGACCTTTATCAGCGGCACAGGCACGGCAATCGAGCAAAGCGGCTCAGGCAAAATCACCAATGCGGAGGTCTACGACGCGGAGGTTCATGGAGCTTTGGCTGCTCTAGAAGCAATTACTGCCAGCAATCGAGATCGAGGACGCAGCGCCATCTATTTCCTGCTCGACAATTCTGCGGCTGTTCAGGCTTTGCTGACGGGAACAACAGGTTCATCATCCTGGCGAATCCAAAAGTTCGTGAAACTGGCCGCGAGGTCAGCCGCGCCTGTCAAAATAGGATGGATTCCGGGCCACGAAGGGCTGGCAGGAAATGAAATAGCCGATGAACTCGCTCGAAGAGAGCTTAACTCACCGGAAAACTCTAGGACGATACATGGTGTGATGACCCTCGCCTCATCAGGACGGAAAACCCGTGAACTGGCCAGGCAGACGTTGACAGACTGGTGACACTCCAATCGCCCAAAACACTACGCCGATCTTGAACCCGAGATACGGCGCAAGAAACCTCCAGAGCTAGCGCAACCGAGAGCGGTTTGTGCCCGCTTAATTGCTGCTCGAACTGGACAAGGGGACTTTGCGGCATATCATCGCCGCTTCAACCACACTGACGCTACACTTAACTGCTAGTGTGGGAGGGAAAAATCAATTGGTCACCTTGTCCAGTGTCGAAAAGCACTGGCAACATGGCGGCTGAAAAGCGGAAAACGAAGGGCGCCGGCTCTAGAAACGATGCTCGGATCAAATGGATGGTAGCTGTTCAGGGATTACGTCCAGGAAAGCGGGGTTTACGCGGAGGCTAGTCGGGGGATGGCAGGGATACTTGTGACTCGGAGGTGATATATCGAAAGCCTAGGCGGTTTGGCATGGACAGAAAGATTGGATTCGAGGCTCAGGCGCGTGGTGGCTGAGGCGGAACGATGGAAGGGAGATTGTTTAAGTTTTTTTTTTGTAATGCAGGATTTCGCGTGAAAGTTTCTGGTTTGTTTTCAATTCTGGGCTACTGAATTCGTCATGGTTCAACACATAGATGCATTTTGGTATGGTTCCAGTCATTTAGGTGGGACGAGGCATTTGTACTTTACGGTACTTAACCTGATCCGGCCCGACCCCACTCGTGCTCAAGCTCTAGTAGGATTGCGAAGGTAGTTTCTTCACCTAGTACATTAATGAACAAACAAACCAATCACAAAGGGGGTTATGAAGCTGAAGCCATGGCATACCTAGGATTATTGGGTTGCTCTCACCCAGATTTGTTACATAGAGCACAATTATCTCTGAGTGCTGGCCTAGGTGCATTCGAATAGTGAAATAATCGGTAACGGTTGCTTGGGTACTACCATCAGCTAGACGAACATAACGGGGCTTGACAAGCTTCTTGGTTGAGATACTAAAGCGCTTTACAACTGCCTCGGCGTTTGTAAATGCGAAGTCTGTACAGCCGCTTTCTACTAAGCTAGATGTATGGAACATTATAGGGTCACCAGTGCGCGGGTCTGAGAGTTGAGTTAGAAGCAGCATTGAATTTCTAGAGCTAGTGGAGCGTAGCTCTAGAGGCGAGTCATCTCACAATACTGCTCGGATTAATTCATCCTCTCCATCATACCAAGCACACCTCTGATTGCGACTTTGATTAGAGGTTTGCCTTAAAGCTGATTCAAGTATTCAGATGTATTTCGGCCTCGATCAGGGCTTACATGGTCAGAACTGGTATCAGATACATATCCGGGATTTTCACCAATAGCACGCAAGCGCGAATGTGCTGTTTGCTGCGGCGTTATTTGTTGGTACATGGGTGGATAGTATGTCATAGGAAATTGTGGAGGCTGCGTGAAGTACTGAGGATTTACAAAATGACTGCGCGAATTAATGTTCTGAGGTCGGGAGTTCGAGCGATTCTCTATATCTTGGACATTTTGCCTATTATAAGCTGACGTGATATTGGCACGTTTCGGAATCGGGATTGGGTCAAATTTCCGATGATGGTCTCGGGCAATGTGGCCGCTCTGACCACAGGCTAGAAAAAGCCCCTGGATACGCCGGCGCTGCCTTTCACTATCAGAAATTTGCAGCCGGCTAACGTCCATGGGGTCATCGTGAGGATGGGATCTGTAAGCAACATTTCGTACATCTGGTGGAGATTGCGCTGGCACGTTGGATTTCTCATTCCTACTTTTGCTGCTTGAGTGATTTATGGAATCATAGTAAGCCTTCTGAAGCTGATTGCGAGCGATATTATCACATCTAGAGACCCATCCGACAAAATCATCATCGCCCGAATTGTCTACCTGTGACCGAAGTATCTTTTTGATATCAATACCAATAAATCTACACCATTTTTCGACTTTTTCTCGTGGACCTAACTTTGCGCGGTGAGAAAGCCTAATAAACTCAGCTTTCCATTCACAGTATGGTATAGTGCCGTTTCTCGGACTGTCTTGGGAATAATTATCCAGCGTATTTCTTGCAAGCGTTGCAGAATTAATTAGGATATATTGGCTATCAAGATCGGTTGGGAGCGGATTCTCATTCTGCCACTGCCATTGCGAGGGATCATTCAAATTAGCAGTAATAGACTTGTGGCCATCACAAACTGCATCCCACGCATGGTCATCCATTAAGTCACATATATACACTATTTTTGAGGCTTCAGTGAGGAAACATGCAAAGTCAATAGAGATTATTCCTTGTACTTGGGTCTTGAATCTCTCGTATTTCTCTTGGCGGTGGACAGGATTTTTCTCGTTGCTTGATGCCGTGAATTTATTTGGATCTTTCTGGGTTCGGCGGGCAGTTGAAGCTTGGGCAGCTATTCCTTCTCCTGTGGCGCGGCTTTCGGCGTTTTGAAGCAAGGCAAGTTGGAGCTGAGTCTCTGCTACAAGTTTCTTTCCCAGAGAATCCGATAACTCAACATGAGTGCTTGCTAATGTAGCTCTTTCTATTTCAAGTTGTGCGCGAAGAACATCTTCTTCATTTTCCGCAGTTACACTGGCATTACGTGCCCTAACATTCCACGAGTGCTATTCATTGTATACCACCTCATTTTCACTTGCTTTCAGGCTAAGCTTCTCAAATCCGTGTTCGAATGCAAGAAGCATGGCGAAAATTGCCTTTGCATCGTCATCCAAGTTGGGATTTGGGAGTACATTCAAGATTTCTGCTAGTTTTCAGGGCGAAAATGGCCTGTTCGCAAGTGTGTGAGTAAAATCGTGTTCGGTGGGAACTCCAGACAAATTTGGGAAACAAGAAGTAAAAGATTCGCTCATTCTCTGACCAAATTCAGTATTCGTGGTAGTCATCTTGGAAATTTGCAGTGGAGAGGTTATATTTTGTTTTTAATGTAAAGCTGGAAGCAAGAAGCAGAAAGTGAAAAACGACCCTGGAGATTTTCTGATTGGAAGCTGGGTATCGAGTAAATTTTGCGACTTTCTACTGATTCAGATATTCATAACAGATATATTCACCGGGTCGCAAAACGGGCGGGTCTGGGCACGAAAATTAGCTGTATTATGTTGAAAGCGAAAATCTTCAGGCTGGAATATGCGACTGGGTGTAAAATGAGATCGCACAAAATGTCACAGGGCGAGGGTACGAGGAACGAGTTAAATATTATTAATGAGTTGTGCGATGAGAATGGAGGAGACTATCTGGCTACACAAAAGTCTTTGGAGGCTCAGTTATCGCTTAATCTCAAACCACGCCAACTACCATTCAACTACCGTGACATAAATAAACAAATAAATGTCACGATCAGAAACCAAACGCTGTCACCTTTTTTGTACAAACTCAACATTTTGTAATAAAAGATTATATTAAATTTGGGTGGACTTCTGTCGCAGTATGACTATATAGAAGACGATGGAATTAGCACAGTGGATTGAGGTCAGATAGAATCAGATATTCGAGTTAACTAAAAGTATACTAAGATCGAGACAGCCAGACTCCTAAGTACAAATTTTCCTCCACGCGACTGATCTGCATGAATAGCGTAATTGACGCGACTCATGTGTTTGACTCTGTCTGACTCGGATTGCCCCTGTAGCAGCTAGACACACCTTGTCATTTAACAGATTACATTATGACTGAATTTTCAGATATCTGTGAATACCTTGCCAGGAACCCAATGGCAAATAATCTCATTGCGTTTCTAGATTTATACGAGCTAATGGGTTCTAAATTTGGTAATTTTCGCACCAAAGCTAAGAAATCTGAAACTAATTAATAGCTTATAATGTATTATTTTCTTCTTTAACATCTTACACACTCGCCGTCAAAGACAATGATACCTCGAACCAACTGCTTATACAATTGAGTTCCATTGCCGTCAATATCGGCAGGGATAAGATCGACCTCGTCAGACTCCAACCTCTCTACAATGCTATCTCAGGAAAGAAAAATGAGGTAGACATACTCCAAATTGCACTAGTCTTCGCTCAAAACCCACCACAACGGATCGATGTCAAACAAAAAAGTAGATGACCCACGTCAACTTCTTCACTAAGTAATGAGACCATCTAGCGGGGTAATGATTAGTTGTTGAGCCATAACACCACAGCTTCAATTGTCGAACGAGCCCTGCAGAATGAACTTTATGGTAACGTAATCACTGGGCTTAACAACTTCTGGGAAATAATTTTCCTAAATAAACATTGGTCCGACCAAACTCTCCGCATCTGGGAGTGTTATCAAAGGTACGAAATAGATGAGATCGAAGAACGGGAAAGAGATAATGGCGGAAATCCACTAATAGCTCAGACAACATATTTATCCAGAGAGAGTAATCCGAAAGAAACTTTGAAGCTAACCTACAGACAAAAAAACCCCAAAATGTTTACGGGACTAGAAACACTAGAAGAAGGTGTCGCACTAGGAACATCAGGAGGGAGCCAGAGAAAAGAAATTACTAATGAAGAGCATGTGTTGTGATCTAACGCTGTTCAACCTGCGGACTATGTGGTGAGCAGTTATTATATCTCACGTAGAACTGTAACACATTCTCTGTAGATAGACATAACAAGTAATTATCATCAAATAATTGAATCAACCTCCACACAATTGAGACCCATAGACGTGCCAAACTTTATTACAACCCTTAATTGTATTGTCACAATCGCATCTGTAACGAGCCACCACTGCATTCCAGATACACTCTCTAACTGTGATAAGCTACACCGCCTGGTCTAGCAAAAAAAATAAAAATGGTAGCAATGGAAACTGCGTGCGCGGGAAAAAGTCTCAAAAAACCTGCAGCCCCAGCCAGGCGAGGCCTAGACACCGGGACCACATGAGGTGCGCATATTCATCTATATCTCCCTTCTTTGTAACAGTCGAGGTCGACTTGATCCAATCCACCATCTCCGTATCGGGTGCTGGGTACGCTCCGGAAACTCATCGGATGGCTTTTCCTCCATGATCAAGGGTGGGTGACGAGTAGGGCTCCGACCCTACCATCTGATCTGATCGTGGTTAGCTTCATGATAGTGGTGATAGAGGAATGTGTTGAGAGATGAAGACGATACAGACCGCGAAAGCGATTGGGAATCCTCTTCGAAGTGAGGACTTTGTTACTCAATCTCGGCTCTGCAGACTCTACAGTGAGAGCTGGAGGTTCGTAGGGGACACCACTGACAGGTGTTGAGAATAGTCCCCCTCACGGTTTCAGTACAAAGTGCTTGCGCGATCTTGTAAGTACAGCATATTAATTATAATTCTCTAGAAAGAGAACTCCCATAGCTAGAATACAAATACATATACTCTGAGATACTCCTTTTCTGTAAGGTTCTCCCTATATCTAGAATAACATGGACTCCTCGAAAAATACCCTTGAAGATTCTTGGTAAACCCGTTGTCCTCATGAACCTTTAGTGTGCTTCCAGAAGATTCATTGAGAATCTTCTAAGCTCCTTGTATTACGAGATCCTTCCCGAAGATTCCCTTGTATTCATTGCCTGCGCTTGCCAGCGTAGGCTACAGGAATCCCTAGGCTTATCACCCGTTACAGACAAGCTGATAAGGGCGATATCATCATTCCTGTTGATGAGTGATGAAGAGCCTGCTATTTACTCTCCTTTCCGACACGTCCGAGGAAGGTCTTTCCTATCATGTAGCACTGAGGAAGATGATCAGGCTCAGGACTATGATATCAATCCTGATCCTATTTTCAAGGCCGGGACGCTAGTCTCACGTGGCACTATTAGCTACGAAATGAGTGAAGAGAGTGCAATCATGAAGTACTCGTGGACAAGGACTGCAGGAAAATCAGAAATTGACCTCCAGCAAGACGCCTGTGATACCGAAGGTGTTGTCAATTATCTCCAAGCAGATAGAATTTGCAAGACGAGTGATCATCTACAGGGTCTCAATTTTGGTAGTGCGGCTTACTGGGATATAAGTGGTCTAAAACCTATTGCAACAGGGAAAGGTGAAAAGCAACCAACTACACCCCCACGCATTAAAGATCGGGAGCTGACCAGACATATTGTCACACCTCGTGGTTTTAGACTGAATAGCAGCAGGACGATACTAGAATTTCTTAGAGGTATAAGGGACGCCATCATGGCACACCAACGTTTATTTGTTGAAAAGAAGGTACTCCATGGTGACATCTCTGACGGAAACATAATTTTGCCTTTCGTTGGTGGCAGGTTTCGAGGGTTACTGATCGACTTTGACCACGCCGTAAAGGTGGAAGATACTTCAGACAAGCATGAGAACTTGTACTTGACCGGCACCTTGAAATTCATGGCGCTCGAAAGACTTGAACATGCTGCAGAAACTGAAAAATCCATAACCCGAACGTATTATTATGACCTGGAGTCTTTTTTTATGTATTCCTCACAGGCTGCATAGAATATGAATGCCGCGAGAATCCGAAAGTAGTAGTTAGTCTACAAAGGTAGTACGTAGAAGATGTCCATTCTAACTTGAATATTAAGCTTAGTGATATGGATTACTATCATTTACATATTCTACCCAAATTCTCCACCAACTTCGACGACTTAAAGGAACTTGCGTGGAAGTTACGCAAAATCTTATTCGGAGATGGACAAATCAACTTTGGAACACCTATCGAATACGAACCTGTGTACAGAGACATGATCGGGGCTTTCGACGAAGTCATTGCACAAATTAGAGGTAAGACACATCAGTGACTTTCACACACTTGCTGTTCCCTTGCACTACAGGCCGCTGATAATTGTTCATCTAGGTGGAATAATATTGAATAAAGCTTTGGAACAGAATAAAATTTATTAGCAGGTTTTCTAGACTGGAAAAGATGGCATAATCTTACCTAGTAATCAGAAATAAGAGAATGGGGTATGCAAGTAGACGATGTTTTGGATTCATACTTAAAAGGAGTGATCTCAGTTGCAAAGATTTGATGAGATATGTGTTGTAATTTTCTGGTTAAAATTTCCTCGAAATGACAGTACGCGAGTATTAGACAATAATAGGACGTGTTTAAAAGCTATTTATATTTCTATTTTGCTAGCAGAGTGTGTCTTTATTTAATGATGGATAAGTTCTTGTTTTAGTCCTATTCTGCATCTAATTTCAGCACTATGAAGAAGGGGGAAAGTTTTCCAGTCACAGAATCAATTGTTTTCTAGCGCGACGCAAACCAGCTTCAACCATAGAGTTTGTTTGTTTGTTCATTAATGTACTAGGTGAAGAAACTACCTTCGCAATCCTACTAGAGCTTGAGCACGAGTGGGGTCGGGCCGGATCAGGTTAAGTACCGTAAAGTACAAATGCCTCGTCCCACCTAAATGACTGGAACCATACCAAAATGCATCTATGTGTTGAACCATGACGAATTCAGTAGCCCAGAATTGAAAACAAACCAGAAACTTTCACGCGAAATCCTGCATTACAAAAAAAAAACTTAAACAATCTCCCTTCCATCGTTCCGCCTCAGCCACCACGCGCCTGAGCCTCGAATCCAATCTCTCTGTCCATGCCAAACCGCCTAGGCTTCCGATATATCACCTCCGAGTCACAAGTATCCCTGCCATCCCCCGACTAGCCTCCGCGTTAATCCTACTCTCCTGGACGTAATCCCTGAACAGCTACCATCCATTTGATCCGAGCATCGTTTCTAGAGCCGGCGCCCTTCGTTTTCCGCTTTTCAGCCGCCATGTTGCCAGTGCTTTTCGACACTGGACAAGGTGACCAATTGATTTTTCCCTCCCACACTAGCAGTTAAGTGTAGCGTCAGTGTGGTTGAAGCGGCGATGATATGCCGCAAAGTCCCCTTGTCCAGTTCGAGCAGCAATTAAGCGGGCACAAACCGCTCTCGGTTGCGCTAGCTCTGGCGGTTTCTTGTGCCGCATCTCAAGTTCAAGGTCGGCGTAGTGTTTAGGGCGATTTGAGTGCCACCAGTCTGTCAACATCTGCCTGGACAATTCACGAGCTTTCCGTCCAGAAGAGGCGAGGGTCATCACACCATGTGTCGTCCTAGAGTTTTCCGGCGAGTTAAGCTCTCTTCGAGCGAGTTCATCGGCTATTTCATTTCCTGCCAGCCCTTCGTGGCCCGGAATCCATCCTATTTTGACAGGCGCGGCTGACCTCGCGGCCAGTTTCACGAACTTTTGGATTCGCCAGGATGATGAACCTGTTGTTCCCGTCAGCAAAGCCTGAACAGCCGAAGAATTGTCGAGCAGGATGAAGATAGCGCTGCGTCCTCGATCTCGATTGCTGGCAGTAATTGCTTCTAGAGCAGCCAAAGCTCCATGAACCTCCGCGTCGTAGACCTCCGCATTGGTGATTTTGCCTGAGCCGCTTTGCTCGATTGCCGTGCCTGTGCCGCTGATAAAAGTCACAAAGGTCCATGACACTCTGTCGGTGGACGCCTCAGAACCATCACTGTACACGCAAAGACAGTCGGGTGGGAGAGTAGGTAGCCACTCTCTTATAAACCTAGCTGCTTCTTTCTTGCTTGTCCAGCGGGGAATTGGCTGAGGGAGGACCGGAGGTCGGAGCCGTGGAGGAAGTTCAGCCTATGGCAGAAGTCGGTACATCCTCTGGACCCTCGAATCATGAACTCTATCCAGAACAAGTCTACTTTTGTTGCATGTCTTGAATCTGACTCGATAGCGAGCGCTGTCTGTGCTTTCCGTGGCCCGAAGTCGAAGCGGATGGTACTCATCCAGTCTTCGGATTCATGCGGCAGTCTTGAGCCAACGTTCCTCGAGCAGAATGTGTGCTGGTGGAATGCCAGTCTCCCTTCTCAGGGCTGCGATGGGCATGGTGCGCCAAGTTGGTAGAGTCACGCGAATTCCTAAGGCAGAAGTTTGGTCTCTAACTTTGCAGTCTCTTACATGAATTTCGCGCGACACCCCGATATGTTTTCCTGGTTGGCCCCGGGGACCAGGATTCCGCTGCGTGCATCGCGATTGGCAGAACTACCGCGCGGATCACTGTGGTTAGTAAGTCGGGTCTTGATCCCTGAGTACACTGAGTGAGTCGCCGGAAGTGTTGCACTAGCCGCATTGCTTTGCTGGTCCACTTTGCGACGTGGCTTTCAAAGGTTAGACCGCGATCAAGGTGTACTCCGAGCCATCGGATATCGTCGGATGCTTGTACATCGCGAGTACCTATCCATATTGTCGGAAGATCATATCCCCTGGATCTAGGGCCGAGGAAATATACTGCTTCGGCCTTATCTGGGTCGAAAGAGACGGCATTTTCAGCAGCCCACCCTAGGATTGCATCGACTTCTCGCTGGACAGCTGCTGCGGCTTCATTTGGAGTAGAGCCTATGCCGAGGATAGCAACATCATCTGCATAGCCAAATCTCCAGTTACTGCCCCCAACGACTTCGGCCATGTAAAAGAGGAAGAGAATTAGGGATAAAGGCGATCCTTGTGGCAGCCCGCATTCTAGGTGAATTGGGTCTGTTACTCCGTCCTCGTGTCTGACGCGGGCGGATCGTTTGTCCAGGAAAGACTTTATCCAAGTGATGGCTGATTTCGGCCACCCATCTTTATTCATTCTTTGCAGCAGTCGTCCGTGGAGTACAGCGTCAAATGCACCCTGTACGTCCAGAGTGACAAGGACTGCTTTCTTCTGTCTCTTCATGGCATGCTCCACATCGTGGTTAACGCATGAGACAAGGTCATTAACTGATCTATTGGAGAGTGCTCCAAAAAGCTGCTGCGGCACAGCCTTGTGCGAAATGGCGGTAAATGCCATTCGCCTTGCAACAAGTCTCTCGAGATCTTTGCCCAGAGAGGATAGTAGTGCGATGGGCCTCCATCCCTTAGCTGTGCTGAGATTACGTCCAGGCTTGGGGAGAAGAATTACTTCCGCTAGCTTGAATGCCTTCGTGAAGTGGTTCAGTCGAAGTGAGCCCTCAAAGAGTATTCTCACTGCTTGTTCAATTGACGGCCAGGCTATCCTAAGAAGACGAACAGAAATTGCGTCTGCTCCAGGGCTTTATTCTGGCAGGCCGTTGTTACCCACTTGGCTTCTTCATCAGTGACGCTTGAGACCCATGGAAGGTTTCCGCGTCCTGGCTCGAGGTGTTCGGTGTCCACGTCGTTTTGGCTGGTGAACCGGCCGAGAAGGAGATCGCGCAATAGAAGTGCACGCTTTCCTGGATCTGAGACAAAACCATCCGGAGTTTGGAGTGGTGGAGTAGCAGATGTAGGCTGCGGTTTAGCCCAACGTGCCATCCGATACATGTGGACATCAGTTGTAGCTTCGGAGAACTTTCGCCGCCAGTATTGGCGTTTCGCACTTCTGACTACGCGACGGAAATCCTTTCTACTCTCTTCGTCCCTGAATATCCTATATTCGCGTTTGTCCAGTGAGCACTCCAACGTCCACCAAGTTGCCGTCCTACCCTTCTTCGCACTCCCGCATCTTCCGGTAGACCTGATAGCATCGCTGATGGTTTGAGCCAGTTTATAAGCAAGGTTATCCACCGCACTTGTTGAGACCATAGGCTGCATCTCTATTCCATGTGCCCACCTACTTAGTACCTTGGCGAACTCTTCGAGGGCGTCGTCTGTCACTCGTACCGGTTGACCAGTTTTGATAATCGCTCTGGCTTTCGAGTTCGGGAGGGGAACGTCTCCTGCAAGCGTTCTGTGGTCCGATGTTGAGTCAAGCTCTGTCGAGACATCTGCAAGGGCACTAACATTAGACCAGACCAGGTCAAGTGTGTTTCCAAAGTCTTGTGTCGGGACGCCTGGTGTGGATGATAGGTCCATGCCGTGCTCGAACATCCACTTTGTGAGCACCTGGCCGTCACCGTGTAGCCTAGTAGTCATTGGCTGCCAGTCGGTGTGAACAGCATTGAAGTCTCCGCCAATAACTGTACGCCTAGACGGAGCCCATGATAGTAGCGGCATGAGGTCTCAGGGATGAGGGTTTGACAGTGTTCCACGGAGTGCGTTGTATAGCCTAGTGAAGATCTAGCTGGTAAGTGAAGATTGTAAATAGGTCAAAGGGATGACAGGTCTTCTCTAGGAAGAGATGAATGGGCAACTAGTTGCAGTAGATGTTACACGTGGGTCTTGCTGATGAAGAATTGGGCAATGGATATATGGTCTTCCCGAAGAAGAGATGGGTGAACAAATGTATTGTAAAGGGTTAATAAAGAGGACGTTGTGTGAGGAGTGAATCTCTCTCACGCCGAATTATTATATACAAGAGTAGAAGCCTTTGCCAACCGGAATGAATCGTAATCAATTCTTGCCAATATCTTCGCATTAATGACTGTGTTCTTGTCCTTCTCTTCATGACTCTCTTGCATATCCTTACATGAATTTTTACACGACTAATTGTATAGGGGAAGCTATTATTAAATTGATGTCTTTAATTAACTACCCCTTCATCTTATC